ACAAGGAGTTGTGTGTCCCGGCTCTTACTATAGATTGCTGTATAGTAGTTTGTCAACGGGTGTATGATGTGCCGTGTGCAGCACTCTTGTTTATAATTTTGATTATTTTTATAAATGGCTCTCTTGATATAAAAAATGTAACCTTTTCTGTGATTTATGTCATATATTTTGGATCTTTACCATAAAAAACCCCACGATGCTGCAGCTTATTCTTGATTAAAGGTGCTTGTATATTTCTCTTTCAAAGAAATGAGCAAATCTATCATTTTTTAATTCAGTTTTTTAATATACATCTTGATTATTTTGTTAATTTCCCCCACATGATGATACAAAAACAATCCAACTATCTGTCTTTGTCCACCAATGGCATCAGCCGACACAAAGAAAATGACTTATTGATTAAAATCAGCCCAGAAAGCAGAAGATGTTCAAATGATCTTTTAAAGACAAAGAATGAGTTGACAGTAGAATGAAGGTCATCTGAGTACAGCTGGTGCAGGAACTGCCTGGCTGGTCTTTGTGAATACAAATACACGAGCACACAAAGTGTTTTTTAAGAGTCGGAGCCAACTCAACCCTTAACTCATGATGTTTCCTCTTAAAGGTGGGGCACCGCCAGTCGTATTGGCCAACGCAAGAAATGTACTCGTCACATGAAAACCTTTTGGTAGTTTGAGTTCTCTTCTGAGCTCCATCTGTGTGCCATTGTCAGAATGGACCCTGTTGGCTCTGTTTAGAGTTAATATCATATGTTTAACTTTTTTTAAAATCATATCCAAAAACAGACATCTTGCAGAAACGCTAAAGAAGAGAAAAGTATTATTTCACCATGCTTCTAAAAAATTTGGTAAAAACAAAATGGCTCCACGAACGAGCCGTTTGAAGCCCTGTCTTATAGGCTGACAACCCACTATGATGTGCAGTTCCCGTGGTCTTTAAAGACCACGGGAACTGCTGTGGGTGCTTTCTCATCAGCGGTCCGTCACACACAAACAGTTGTGCCTCTTCAGGGACTGTGTCCGTGACACAGATTGATGTGCTCTGCTCCGTTGGTCTCCAACTTTTTAATGTTAAAGACTGGCCTGTGCAGCCATCTTTAATCAAGTGCACAGAATTATTAGTGGGATTTCTTGTTTTCATCTTCAGATATTGTTCACCTTTAAAAACTTCCACTCAGGCTTTAATATATTTCTAGAAATGTGCTCTTTTACTTTGAAAAACTCTCTAATCCTATTCACTGCTGCCTGAACAAAAGTACAGAACCCAACAATTTTCAGTCAGGTCATCTGGACGTTTTTTTTTTTTTTTTTTTTCTGAAACGTTTCACCTTCCATCCAGAAGGCTTCATCAGTCAAGGAAACACACAAAACAAAACTGATTCTTCCCCCAACAGCTTACTCCAAAGTGGAACAAACCAGTTATGTTGGTGCTAAGATGGTCTCTTTTGCACGCCCCCTTCTCTTGTGCCGGCCCTCTTCCTCGTCGACAGTCATGTCAAACTGGTTGAAAACCAAAAAAAAAGTACAGAACATTTCTACTTTTAACAGTGGAAATGTACATTTCTGACAGTAAACAGAGCATATCTGCATGTTTCTTAGGAGCAGGAAAATAATATTAATGTTTCTAATTCTGGGAAAGATAAATACATTTTATAATCTCCCAAAATGATGCAAGACTTCTTTATATTTTAGCACAATTTGACTTGATAAACTAAACCAAACCTAACTGAACTTTTTCATTATGTGTATAACGTATCGTGGTGCTATAAAGGACGTGGGTGGGTAACATCTATTTTTGGATGCACAGTTGAATAAATGTTTTCAAATATTTTGATGTAGATTTATTAATGTGACATTGAGGAACACAAAAGGAGGAACTCAGACTTGTGTTGAAGCAAAGACCATCCAGTCTGATGTTCACTCAGCAAACACACGATGGTGGAACCATCTAAATCACTGGGAGTAATTCAGCTGGGAGCATCTGAATACTTTCCTTTTAAAACTACTGGTCACATGGTGGGAGGTGGAGCGGGACGGGTCGTGATAACTGAATGGATAATCATTTTATCATCTCGACACAGCCCTCTGAATCGTGATCAAATCAAACCGTGAAGTGCTGAAAGAATCACGATAATCTGAAGTTAGATTGTTAGACCACCATGACCTGGTCTGAAAAGAAGAAAGCCCTTCATTAGTCCCTCGTCCCAGAGAGGGGGAGATGGAAATGCCCTCCGTCCATCCATGTTGTGAGCACAACAACTTGAAAATAGATGAGGTATCAACTTTCATTTTTGTGCGTGACTGTATAGACGTTATGAGGGTTGTCAGTTCAAAATCCAAGATGGCCACCACCATATATCCAGCCTTCTCAAGAACTTTCTGAGCAGGAGGTGGGAGTCATTTCCAACATCAACAGATATCCTGTGTGGTGGAAATGTTGGTGAACGCAGTCTGTTTAAACTCTCATCACTGATGAAAATGTCTCACAGCATCATGAAGAGTGATGATGTCATCAGCAGCAGCTGTCAATCAAGTTGTAGAAGGAGAACGAGACACCGGTACAGTAAAAAATAGTAAAGTATTGATTGGTTTGTTGCAGGACGTCACTTTCAGCTGAACGTGGTCAATAAACAGTTTGTACATTTGACCATCAGCTGATGTTCTGCAGCCTGAGCTGAAAACTGAAGGAAACGACATTCCTCAGGAAGTTTGTAAAGATGAACTCTGTTCTGCACGTGTTTCACATTCATCTACTTTTTATTATTTGTTGAACTTGCTCTACTTGGATAATGTTTGCTCTTCTTGTAATGTTCAGTTTTTCCTCTCTTTATATTTCAGAACTGTGAGCCCAGCTGTTGGTTCTGTTGGTTCAGACATGTCAAACTGAAGGCCCGCAGGCCAAATCTGGCCCTTGTCGACATTTAGTGGCCCTGTACAAAAATGTTTTAAATCTAGCTCTCATATTAGAATACAAATGAGTTTAAATTAAAATCTAAATGTAGCTCAGATTCAGTTATCACGTCTGCTGTAATGAGCCATTTTGAGAACCGAAGCGAGACAGCCCATGTCACATCAAGGGGCCTCCCTCCTATTTTTCTTAGAGACACGTTGCTCGCTCCCTCACTATCTGTCCTTCAGTTCAGTCTTATGCTGCCATCCCGTAGGTGAAAAAAGGTACTACATGCAAAACAAATTAACAGAGGTTTCCTCATAAATTTGACAATAATTACTAATTATTGTCAAATTTTAAACTATATAATTTATCGCAATAATTTCTGAGACAATTAATCGCCCAGTAAAATTTGTTATTGTGACAGGTCTATCAACAAGTTCATTGTACTATAAATATTTTATAACATTTTATCTGGTATAGTTATTTTCCTTTATAGAATAGTGACTTGTTACTCAGGTTGATGAAGACTGAAGATTAATCTATGGGGGGTAAAGGCCACCACTGGCCACCCCCTGGCTCCACCATTTCATCTGGTCGTTGATCAAATGTCTCCCTCCACTCTCCAGGATCCGTCACTCTGAGCTGCCTTGGACAAGAAAACTAAAAACTCCTCCCTCTCTTCTCCACAGTGTAACTCCTACCTACTTGAATATCTTGCATTAAAAACATTAAGGTTTATTACAGTCTCTGTTCAATTCCAGTCCAGAAAAACACTCCTCCAAAACTACAAACCTTCGCTTGCCTAAAGGATCATTTAGGGTGTTGACATCCAGTGTTTAACACACAGACTTCAGAGACGTCAGGCCCAGCAGGCCAGATGATGTGGGTGTTACTTCAGCTGTTTGAGGTTGCAAAGATCTGATCCTTGGTGTATTCAACCCCAGTGCTCAGTTTGTCTAACTGAGTGACCTTATCTCTACACCACAGTTCAAATTGTGCTCATAAACATGTGATCCAAGACTTGCATCATAAAATAACTTGGCTAATCTCCCAGTGTGCTCTGAGGCCTTTTTAAGATTCCTGCATGATTCCCGTAACGTGTTCAAAATGCACTGATGGGATGGAAAGAGGCTCGGCTCTGGCCTCGGAAGACTTCTGTCTGTTCAGGTCTGAAGATGTGGTCCGTTTACTTTTTGAACTGGCACAAAGTACAGTACCTGAGAGGAGGACAGCAGTCAGTCAGGTTACAGCTGAAGTTATTATTTGATAATGAGCAGAGTGTTGAAGGCAGGGGGAGGGAAAACGACTTTTTTTTTTTTTTTCAGCGTGCCACTTTAATTGCTGATATTCCACTTTGTCTGTGCTGCTGATTATCCATGCTTGCTGCTGATCCTTACCTTAAGCTGCTGATCCTTACCTTAAGCTGCTGTATTCATACCCATGTGCTCACATCAGACTCATGTTCAGGCTGCTGTTTAATACACTGTATTATATTACAGTATTATTGTTTAGCATATATCTTAGATCCTTATCTACTGTTTATTTTTGTATATTTTCTGCTATTTTGGGGTGTAACTGGGACCTTGAGTACACAATTTTGTTCCACGTCATGTAACACGTGATGCGAATGATGATGAAGAACCTTGAATCTTGAATATTAACCTAATTATGCAAATTCAAAAAAGTTGTTTCCTAAACTAGACAACTGTAAAGACAAAAAAAAAAAAAAATAACAGAAAAAAGTTTTATCCCATCTTAATCTAAGTGTTGTTGGTATATTAGTCCAAGATATTTAATTTAAACTTTCTTATATTTCATTGATAAAATGTAGGTTTTCATCAACTCTTCAAAAAGTTTATTTTCAATTAACATTTTTTGGGGCCAGCTGGAGGTTTGCCATATGCTTGTTTAAAGAAATCATCTGTGCAGAGTTCATCAAGCTGGCTGCTTATTCTCACTATAAGAAATGAAAAGTCTTTGGATAAACTTGATCAAGAGGAAGTTCAGGAAGTCAGTCTTTTTTGTAATTTTTATTGCAGTTAACCAGAGCAACAGGAATGATTTCTTGTATTTATTTTTTATTTGTTTTTTAATGTGTTCACCCTAAGTGGGAGCTGCTCTGGTCCCTCATCCTCCTCTTCACCTTCTGTCTGCTGCTTGTGTGGTTCTACTTCTGGTGGGAGGCCCATAACGACTACAACGAGTTCAACTGGTGAGTACACCATCAGTCTGCATTGTTGTCAGGTTAAATTAAGGCCACTGCCCTGCCAGGCGTATCGTTTGGACCTCAGCCGTCCTCGTTGTCTTGTTGATTTCCTAATTCATGAGTTTAATCTGACCTCAGCCTTAATCTGAATGGAGACCGCTCCATAGATTGCAACATAACAGACGGATCATCCAGCGGTTCCTGGACATGAACGTCAACATGCAGACGTTTAAAAATAGCTATATTTATTAACTTTAGACACGAGATTTATTCTAATTTATCATGGACATTGAAATTTAAATACAAAATGTCCTGTTTTTCTTCTAAGTTGTATGTTCATACTGTTATTAGGAAAAGCAGAACAATGGTATCAAACTGTATTCATAAATTTGAGGTGATTTCTTGATATAGAAAAATATCAACCTGATACCAGCCTCAAATACTTGTACTTGTTTTTCTTCTGTCAGCTTTTCCCTCTTCAGGGGTCGCCACAGCGAGTCATCCTCCTCCATCTCTCTCTGTCCTCTGCATCCTCTGTCCTCACTCCATCTACCTCCATGTCCTCTCTACCAGCATCCGTATATCTCCTCTGTCTTTTTCCTGGCAGCTGTATTATTCTACCAGTACCACTGTCCCTCCTATGGACATGCCCAAACCATCTCAGTCTGGCCTCTCTAACTTTATCTCCCAGTTGTTCAACCTGTGCTGTACCTCTGATGATCTCATTCCTAATCTTATCCATCCTAAGGAGAACTTCACCATCTTCATTTCTGCCACTTCAATTTCTTTCTCGTCTTTTTGTCCATGTCTCTGTCTCCAGACCATACAATATAGCTGGTCTCACCTCTGTCTTGTAAACTTTTCCTTTGACCTTTGCTGACACCCTTTTGTCGCAAATCACTCCTGAAACTTTTCTCCATCCACTCCATCCTGCCTGGACTCTCTTCTTCACCTCTTTACCACACTCCCCCATTTTCCTGGACAGTGGACCCCAAGTACTTGAAGTCCTGCAGCTTTGTGACCTCTGCTCCTTGTAGTCTCACTGTTCCACCTCTTCCCTCTCATTCACACACATGTACTCTGTCTTACTACGGCTGACTTTCATTCCTTTACTTTCAAGTGCATACCTCCACCTCTCCAAGTTCTCTTCCACCTGTTCCCTGTTCTCACCACATATCACAATGTCATCTGCAAACATCATAGTCCATGGAGATTCCTGCCTGACCTCATCTATTAGTCAGTCCATAACCAGAGCAAACAAGAAGGGGCTCAGAGCCAATCCTTGATGCAATCTCACCTCCATCTTGAAGCTATTTGTCACTCCTACAGTACATCTCAACACTGTCCTGCTGTCCTCATGCATGTCATGTACCAGTCTAACATACTTCTCTGCCACTCTAGTCCAGATTTCCTAGTGCAATACCACAACTCCTCCCTCGACACCCTGTCATATGCTTTTTCTAGATCCACGAAGACACAATGGAGTTCTTCCTGATCCTTTCTGTACTTCTCCATCATCATCCTCAAAGCAAAGATGGTGTCTGTGGTGCTCTTTCTTGGCATGAAACCATACTGCTGCTCACAGAAAGTCACTTCTTGCCTTGCTTCCACAACTCTCTCCCAGATCTTCACTGTGTGACTCATCAGCTTAATTCCTCTGTAGTTGCTACAACTCTGTACATCACCCTTGTTCTTAAAAATGTGCACCAGCACACTTCTTCTCCATTCCTGAGGCATTTTCTCTCACTGAAATATGCCATTAAATATTTGAGTCAAAACCCTCAGTGCATCTCTCCTAGTCATTTCCAAACCTCCCCTTCTTCATTCTTTTCTGAGCTTTCTGAACTTCACCCTCAATCTTTCCCACTTCCTGGTCCACAGCTTCTATGACCTCTATTTTTCTTACCCTTTCATTCTCGTAATTCATTAGCTTCTCAAAGTACTCCTTCCATCTTCCCATCACACTCTCCTCACTTGTTAGAATTTTACCATTTCTATCTTTAACAACCCTAACCTGCTGCACATCCTTTCCAGCCTGATCCCGTCAGTCTCACCAATCAGTACATGTCTCTCTTGCCCTCAATAGTGTCCAGCCTCCCACACAACTCATCATATACCTTCTGCTTTGCCTTTGCTACCTCCCTCTTTGTTATACATCCCATCTCCTTATATTCCTGTCTCCTCTCTTCAGTCCTCTCACTGTCATATTTCTTCATGGCTAACCTCTTTCTTTGAACAGCTTCCTGCACTTCACTTCCACCACCAGGTTTCCTTCTCATCTTTTCTCCATCCAGATGACACATCAAATACCTTCCTACTTGTCTCTTGAATTATTGTTGCTGTAGTAGCCCAGTCATCTGGAAGCTCTTTCTTACCACCTAGTCTTTAACATCTCCTCCCTGAATTTCTCACAACGTTCGTCCTTCTTCAACTTCAACCATTTGCTCTTTTCTGATTTTACTCTTTTTTTTTTTTTTTTTCTTTTTCACAACAGTCATTCTACACACAACCATCTGATGCTGTCTGGTCACCCTCTCCCCTGCCACAACCTTACAGTCCACAATGTCCCTCAGGTTTCCTCTTCTACACAGAATGTAGTCTACCTGTGTACGCCTTCCTCCACTCTTATAGGTCACTCTATGTTCTTCCCTCTTTTGGAAGTAGCTGTTGACTATAGCCATTTCCATTCTCTTGGCAAAATCCACCACCATCTGTCCTTCCTAGTTTTTACCTTGACACCAATCCATCACTTCTCCATCCCCTCCATTTCCTTCACCAATATGTCCATTCAGGTCTGCACCGATCACCTGTTTCTCCTCCTTGGGAATCCTCTCTATCTTTTCATCCAGATCTGTCCAAAATGTTTTTTTTCTCCTTTATGTTGCATCCAACCTTTGGAGCATTAACACTAACAACATTTAGCATTAGATCTTCTACTACTACCTTCAGACGCATCACCCTATCTGACACTTTTTTTCACCTCTACTTCATTCTTTGCCAGCTCTTCCTTCAGGACCACCCCTACTCCATTTCTTTCTATCCACACCAGGGTAAAACAGTTTAAACCCTGCTCCAATGCTGTGAGCCTTGCTTTTCTTCTTTTGGCCTCTTGGACACATAAAACATCTACTTCCTTCTCTGCATCATGTCAGCCAGTTCTCTACCTTTGCCCGTCATTGTCCCCACATTTAGAGTTGCAACCCTCAGTCCTACATTCTTGACTTTCCTCTTCTCCCTCTGTCTCCTGACACGTTTCCCTCCTTGTTGTCTTTGACTAAGAGTAGCACAATTTCTGCCAGCACCCTGTTTGTCAGCAGCACCGGTTTTGGTCGTTTGTTAACCTGGGCCTCAACGGATCCGGTATGGTGTCTCTTAGAGGAACTTGCATATTAGTTTTGACAAGTGTTTTATGTCAGATGTCCTACCTGACACAATCCTCACTATTTACCTGGGCTTGGGTAAATCATCCATGTCTAATTTCACATCCTCCTCCAGTGAGCTCTGCAAATGGGCTCCAGCTCAGGACAAAGGCTTTATAGACAATGGATGGAAATTATTTTTTTTAATTTTTGACATCTTTGACATTTGACATAGAGCTTCGTTATCTTTTCTGCTCAAGCTTCCTCTCCAACCATCATTCTGAAACCTCTTCTGTCAATAACACGATGGAGCATGACGCTCATTTACTATCAAGTCAGATTCTCAAAGGATATTCTGAGTTTTCAAGACTTATTTTCCTTAAATATATTTGTTATCCTGCAGACCAAAATAACTAACCTTAGAAGAATCTGTCCTGAGGACCTGACTTAGCCTAGTTAGATTAAACTTAGACGTTCTGTCAATCACTTCACAGAGTGCTGTCAAACTGTCAGATTGTTGGTGACCCAGCCATGTTCCTTACAAAGAACCTTATCTAAATCAACCTACTACACTGTGTCCAACATAAATGTATATCTAAATAAAAACAACACAAATACAACACATCATGTTGTTTGATGGGAGAACTTTCTTAGAATAGAATCAACAAAATTCAACAAAAGTCATGAGGAACGTCCTAGTGAGGATAAGCCTTCTGACTTCTTGTTCTCAACTCAACTTGTTCTTAAATAAAACAGCCTGGTATCTGACATGGATTAAAAAAAATCTGTAGAAAACTCTTAAAGGGGCAGCTGATAATCAGTAAAGAATGTAATCTCAGTGCTACATTAAAACCAGCAGCAGTTTTATTGTAGAAATAACTCCATAAGCATAAAAACGATTATTACAAGATTTGTGGTGCTCTCTGAACCCTCCGTTCATCTGTCTGTGCATGTTGAGAGCATAACTTAAAAAAAATAAGTGAGGTACTCACTTCCATTTCTGCATCTTGATGTAAGAAAGGTTGCTATAGAAAATTGGTTTGCCACGTCAAAATCCAAGATGTCCATCACTATATAATGTAAACGGGCCACCCCTATTATTTGAGGAAATTGTTATCTAATTTTTATATTGCTTAAAAGTATAGTTTCCTCAAATGATTGGAGTGGCCCTTAAGCTGGTTAAAGATTAATCTATGAGGGCCAAGGGCACCACTGGCCACCCTCTGGCTCCACAATTACACATTGTGTTGGTTAAAATTGCTCCCTCCACTCTCCAGGATCCATCACTCTGTGCTGCCTCTAAAAAAAAAAAATCAAAAATAAAAATTAACCCCTCTCTGTTCTCCAGTTTATCTCATACCCACTTGAATATCTTGCACCAAAAACATTACGGTTTATTTACATTCCCTGTTCAGTTCCAGTCCAGAAAAACACTCCTCTCCAAAACGACATCGGGATACTGCATTTTTAGAATTAAGAAGGAAAGAATCGTCCTGCTTGTCCCCAGTTTACTGAATAAACACCAACATTTGTGACTTTATTGTTGGTTTAAAGTTAATTTTAGATCACTGCAGCCATCAGAAACACTGAAACATGCATACAAGACTTGGGACAATATTTCCAGGCTTTTGATTCACACAGATCTTAAAGCATGACCCTTGTTTGTTTGTTTTTTTTTTTGTTTGTTTTTTTACACAGCTTACTCCACTGAAATGTTAGAACCAGACTTTAATTTCCCTCCGGTGAGTCACTGTTGGTCCTAAAAAAGAAAAATGAGAAATGAACTGTCAAACAGTGCATGAATGTAGACAGAGCTGGTGTCCTCTGATGGTTCCACCCAGTGTGGAGATGATGGAGTGTGGGTTAGCGTCCCTGACGAGGAGCATTAAATCTGTTTCTGCAGGTTTCTATATGAGCGCTCAGGGAAATGGAGCGACGGCACCGTTCCCATCTTGGCAACAACCGCTGCTGGCTTCACCTACGTCACGTTTTTAATGGTGAGCTGTTCTGAACTCACCGAGGACATGTTGAACTTGTTCTTGTTCTGAAACGGTACAACGGTAACAGTTACACTCTTGTTTGGGTGTGTCTTTTTTATTTATTTATTTTACTTTTCAGGTTTTAGCACTTTGCCATGTTGCACTTGGACAACAGCTGAATTTGCACTGGCTCCATAAGGTAACGGCACAACTTGTTTGTGTGTGTGTGTTACTGTGTTTTTACGAGTGCTCAGATTCAGTTCTGTCCTGAACTTAGTGTGGACTGTGTTGTCCTAGACGACGTTGGTTAATCAGAATCTCTTTACAAAGTGAAAACTTTTATCAAACACCATGCAGGGCATGAAGCATCTGCATGCTGCTTCAAAACTATTATTATTTTTTGTCAGTGTGTGTTTGTATTTGACATTATCTTTGCTTGTTTTTTTGTTTTTTCTGTCGTCTCCATCACAGATAGGAGTGACTGCTGCTTTGCTCACCACCATTGCTGGAGTCATATCAGTCAACCAGACATGGAGTCAAGAGTGGGACATTGTTCCCATCTCCTTTCAGGTCAGACACCACGGGCACAACAAACACGAGCACGATAAATGCAACAAGCACGATAAATGCAACAAGCGCAATAAATGCAACAAGCGCAATAAATGCAAC